ATTGACCTCCTTCTTGAGGGTCTCATTCTCAACCATTAGTGAGGCATCATATGTGAAACCATCACTACTAGATGAAGTGGATGTGGAAGTGCTACAAGAAGGGTTAGTGGGAGCAACAATGATAGGCTTATAGAATGATTCATCAATTAAGTCACAAGTTAAGCCTACATTACATGTCTCAACAAGCTTCTTCTTATTTTGCTCATCAAGCAAAGAGGAATGAGCTTTTTCAAGCTTCTTGTGAGCCTTGCTAAGCTTCTCATGGGCTTCCTCTAGCCCTCATGAGATGCATTGACCTCATCAAAGGCTTGCTTAAGGGCTTTTAGTTCCTTACGCAAGCTTTTGCATTCCCTTCTCTTAATGTCAAAGTGTTCTTTAGCATCATCTAGCATGTCAAGTAGTTCATCCTTAGTTGGTTCATCATCATCACTATCACTTTTATTTTCATTTTTATTATCATGTTCCTCATCACTTCCATCATCACAAATTTGTACCTTAGTGGCCTTAGCCATGAAGCATGATGGAGTGTCGAAGAGAGAAGGCTTCTCATTGATAGCAATGCTTGCAAGTGCCTTCTTCTTGGTGGTCTTATCATCATCACTATCATCATCATCATCACTTGAGGAAGCATCACTATCCCAAGTCACCACATATGAACCACCCTTCCTTCTTGAAGGTCATCTTGTCCTTCTTCTCTTTCTTTTCCTTCTTGTCCTTCTTCTTGTTTTTCTTGTCATCATCATTGTCACTATTGTATGGGCATTGAGCAACAAGATGATCTTTGTTTCCGCAATTGAAGCACCTTCTTGACTCTTCCTTGTTCTTAGATTAAGACTTCTTTCTTCTAGCATGGTAGCCCTTCTTCATCATGAACTTGCCAAATCTCTTGACAAAGAGAGCCATCTTCTTATCATCCATCTCATCAAAGCTCAAGTCTTCATCTTCACTTGATGATTCTTGCTTTGCCTTACCCTTGGATGATGTGGCCTTGAAGGCCACACTCTTCTTCTTCTCATCTTTCGTCTCCTTCTTTTCTTCATTCTCATCATCATCTCTATATGTATCATCGGTCATTATATCTCCCAACACTTGGTTTGGTGTCATGGTGTCCAAACCACTCCTCACTAGAATAGTGACCAATGTGCCAAATCTTGAGGGTAAGCATCTCAAGAACTTATGGGAGAAGTCCTTGTCCTTCACCTCTTCTCCAAGTGCTTTGAGATCATTGACAAGCACTTGAAGCCTATGGAACATCTCTAACACACTCTCATCCTCCTTCATCTTGAAGCTTGCAAACTTCTCCTTGAGAATGTATGCCTTTGCACCCTTCACCACTTGAGTGCCCTCAAATGATTCCTCTAACTTCTTCTATGCCTCATGACCTCTCTCAATGTTCTTAATTTGCTCAAATGTTCTCTCATCTAAAGCATCATGGATGGCACTAAGAGCAATGTCATTATTTTAGAGTAGCATCTCTTCGGCGGTAGTGGGAGCCTCTTCATCATCAATCTCAATCTTATCCTCCACCACCTTCCAAACCTTCCTATTAATTGACTTGATATATATTGTCATCTTAGCCTTCCAATAGGGATAGTTGGAGCCATCAAATTGGGGTGGCTTCTTGGTGTTGTTGATTTGAGCCATTTCAACACCGAAGGTTGTTAAGCCTCAAATCACGGTGACCACGGCTCTGATACCACTTGAAAGGTCCTAATGATTTGTATGAGTAGAAGAAGAGCTAGGGTTGGGGTGACGGTTCATCGTTCCTTCGGGTTTGCCCATATTCTTCCTTGTCGATCCATAGGGTCGGAGTCCTAGGGGGTATGGGTTGTTTCCTTGTACACGAGCGTGGTGCTCGGGTACATGAGAACTTTCGAATATGATGGTTGAAAGGTCCTAATGGCTAGAGGGGGGTGAATAGCCTATTCAAATTACTACAACAACACTTAGCAAACCGGTTAGACAAATATGAGGCGGAGCGAGTGTTGCGCTAGCTTACTAAAAATGCAAGCCACCTACCACAATTTTAGTTTCTATAGTCTCTATCCACACAATGGCTATGTCACTACACTAAGTTAGTGTGCTCTCAAAGGCTAACTAAAGAGCCACACTTACCAAACTAACAAGATCTCACGACTAGCTACACTAAAGAGCTTGACAACTAGTTTACGGTAATATAAAGAGAGAGAGCAAGATGGTTATACCGCCGAGTCAAGAAATGAACCAATCAATCACAAGAATGAATACCAATGAAGACCAATCAACTCGGAATCAAATGATGATACAATGTTTTTTTACCGAGGTTCACTTACTTGCTGGCAAGCTAGTCCTCATTATGGCGATTCACTCACTTGGAGATTCACACGCTAATTGGCATCATACGCCAAACCCTCAATAGGGTGCTGCACACACAACATAAGATGTGGATCACACAAGCCACAAGCAATTTACTAGAGTATCTTTTGGCTCTCCACCGGGGAAAGGTCAAGAACCCCTCACAATCACCATGATCGGAGCCAGAGACAATCACCAACCTCCGCTCGACGATTCTCGCTGCTCCAAGTCATCTAGGTGGCGGCAACCACCAAGAGTAACAAGCGAATCCCATAGAGAAACATGAACACCAAGTGCCTCTAGATGCAAACACTCAAGCAATACACTTGGATTCTCTCCCAATATCACAAAGATGATGAATCAATGATGGAGATGAGTGGGAGGGCTTTGGCTAAGCTCACAAGGTCGCTATGTCAATGCAGATGGAGAAGAGAGTGAGCTAGAGCCGGCCACAAGCCTTTAAATAGAGCCCCCAACAAAATAGAGTCATTAGGCTCACAAAGCACCCTACTATGCACCGACCGGACGTGCAGGTCGGGGCGATCGGACGCACGCCACCCAGCGTCCAGTCACGTAATGCGCGCCACGTGGCCCCTTGGTTTAACCTCATCCACGTGATCTCAATGGCTAGTCTGCTTTGCACCACGTGTTAAGTTGCGACTGAATGCGCTGATAAAATGACCGGACGCTCCATCATCGGAGTTCGGTCGTTTCCAGTAAGGTTCCAGAGACAGTTTTTTGCGACCAGATGCGTTCGGTCATGCCTGACCGGACTCGCCCAGCGTCCGGTCACTCACCCTTTTCTCTGTGCGCCGCCATGTTAGCAGGACCGAATGCTAAATAGTGTTCAGCCAGAGTCCGGTCACCTACGTCCGGTCTCAGGCCGAGAGTAGCCCGAGCACTCCACTGATTTTTATAAATGATCGGACGCTGCTCCCCTGAGTCCGGTCACCACGTGACCAGCGTCCGGTCACTGTCTTTTTGTGACTATCACCTCCTTCATTTCACCAACTTCTCCACCCTTGCTCAAATGTGCCAACCACCAAGTGTCTCACCTTGTGCACATGTGTTAGCATATTTTCACAAATATTTTCAAGGGTGTTAGCACTCCACTAGATCCTAAATGAATATGCAATGAGTTAGAGCATCTAGTGGCACTTTGATAACCGCATTTCGATACGAGTTTCACCCCTCTTAATAGTACGGCTATCGATCCTAAATGTGATCACACTCTCTAAGTGTCTCGATCACTAAACCGAAAAGCTCCTATCAATTTCACTTTTGCCTTGAGCTTTTTGTTTTTCTTTCTTCTTTTCCAAGTCCAAGCATTTGATCATCACCATGCCATCACCATCATCATGTCATGATCTTCATTTGCTTTATCACTTGGAGTAGTGCTACATATCTCATAATCACTTTGATAAACTTGGTTAGCACTTAGGGTTTCATCAATTCACCAAAACCAAACTAGAGCTTTCAATGGTATCCCACGGTTGAGGGATTGGCGGCAGGTGGTGACAGCTGTATCTATCCCTTGTAATCCCCCACTTCTGGGTATTGTGTAGGAGTCTTAAAGTCTCTCTGGCTTACTAGCAGACCAGTGCCCAGAGATCTCCTCATCCATCTCACACTTAGTTCTAACTCTAGTCATGTAACTTGTATGATCATTAACTGTTCTTTGCACGGCTATATTAGAACACGCCGGCTCCATGTAGAAACATTCTTTTATTTTTTGTTTTCCTTTTATCCTTGAGGTTGGCCCAGATATGTGTCCACTGTCCATGAAATACCGTTTTTACCCCTGTCATGTACTATGGTCCACTATGCAAGTATGTAATCATGTTTATATCTATGCTAGACTCTTATACCTTGCCCTCCTTTGGAAAAATATAAATAACGATACCCTGAATACTTTTGGGTGAAATGCTACAACAATAGATCCATGCGCTTGCAGATATTCTCTGTAATCGTTAAGAACTATCATAGTTGGTGTTTCTTGGTGGCGTTGCTAAGATTAACTCAATCTTAGTAATGGTATTAAGAAATACCAACAGACATTTCTGACGTCATTGCTGGTGATGGACTTAAAACCTCCTCACTTGGTGATTGCGCTAAGAAATGCCAACAACGCCATAATAGAATCACCCAAGAAGTACACTCCAACTAGCCATGATTTCACTAAAGTTGCTCTTTGCAAATCTTCTATGGGGAATGAGCACAAGAACCCATCACAACCAATCGATCGGAGCCGACAACAATCACCAATGGGGCTCAACGATCCTCCACTACGTCTAATCCGTATAGGTGGTGGCAACAACCAAGAGTAACAAGAATCCCGTAGCCAAAATGATCACTAGTGCCACTAGATGCCTCAACTTAATGCAAATGCAATAGGGTCACTCCCAATCTCACTTAGGATGAAGCAATGACCAAGGAGATAAGAGGGAGATGTTAGCTTAGGCTCACAAGGGTGTATAATTCATCAAAGTGCCAAGAGAGACCAGCCAAGGCCAGCCATCCACTATTTATAACCCCCCTTGGAGCCAAGTGGCTGTGGGCCATTTTCTTCAGCCGTAGACCGACCATAGAGGTTGTCGGATCAAAGACTACACGCCCTCTCCTCGCGCCACGTGGAGTCAAACTTTGAAAGTAGTCATTATCGCCCAATGGCTCTCTACGCTAGCATTAGCGCAAGGGCTGACACCCTAGGTTCGACGCCTCAACGTCTTACATGGAACATAAAGGTTCCAGAATAAAAAATTGCACGCCAGACTAGGCCGACGCCCTTTGTCGGACCAAGCATCGGGTCCGATGACCGCAGTCAAATGAGTCTGCACGCTCTCTTGTGCCAACTCGCATGTGAACCGTGTTAGCATCCTATCTGAGGACCGTCGAACCATCGGCTAGAGTCCAATGAGACTCAGACCCTCTGTCACGTGCACCATGCTAGGTAAGCCGTTGGACCTAGCCAGGTGCCGGTCTAACACTCTCAGTAGGGTCCGATGACCCTAAGACAACACCTCATGGTCTTTTCTTCAACCCCTTTTGTCATGTGCTAACTCCAAAGTGTCCCAAACACTTGTGCACGTGACTTAGCATTTTTAAAGGCTTTTTAGTGTACTCACTAGGACTAATGCATATGCATTGAATCAATTCACCTTGTGGCACTTAGATAACCATTTTGAACTTCGAGTTTCCCTCTTAATAGTACGCCTATCTATCCTAAACCCGATCACGCACTTTATTGTGTCTTGACCGGCAAACCAAAATGCTCTAGCTTATACCTTTGCCTTGAGCCCTTGCATTTTGTTTTTTCTCTTTCTTCTTTTCCAAGAATTGAACACTTGATCATCACTTGTGGCCATCAACATCACCATGTGTGCCATCCTTGCTCAATCTTGGATGTGGACCTAACCTATCTCATTCACAACCCTAGAGTGAAGATTAGTCTACTCAGTTGTCTCAATTATCCAAAACCAAACACATGGCTTTCAATGCTCTGCCACTAGTTGTTGCAGGCGCACATATGACATTTGGGCCAATCCTGCCCCTAGAAGAGGCCTAATAGGGGTTAATGTAGTAGCTTGTGAAATCATCCTCCACTGAGGGGCTGCTTGTAAATTGTTATTGCCTATATATAGTGTCCAAGAGCATGAGATAAGGGTTCTCTCTCCCTTCACCTCATTTGCAAATCCTAGCTGCCACCTCTCTCCTCTCTACTCGCCCCCTAACTTGTTCACAACCTAAGTGCCAACAATTGTTACTATAATTCTCTACTAATTTTGTTCCGAGTTTCTAGTTTCAACCCTTTGTAGAGTTTTGATTCCAATTACAAATCTAAAATTAGGACCCAAATTGTCACTAAGGTTATTTGCTTAGCTACTGTATAGTATTAATAATGTATAGTTGAAAAACTTCATAATTTGTAATTTGTAATCTTTTTAGTGCTAATAATGTAGTTGAAGAAGCTCATGATTTATAAACTTTTTATGAGAATAGTTTTTTTCTATGTGACGCACACATATAGACCATGGTGTATCTTTAGTCTTCTGCTACTAGAAGTTGGCCCTACTCTTGACCAAATCCTGGGCCCCCCACTACCCTTAGAAGACAATCAAGACCAGAGGACGAAGAGATAGGGGCTCAAATGAATGCCGAAGCCTTGCAAGGGAGGAATGCTCCATCAACCAAGCCACGCAGTTCTGAGCTATCATGATCCTATGATGACAAGCTCAAGATTCTTAATGCTTTGGTTGTGCACGCCCAGTCCCATAACGTGCTTTGACAGACTCGTCGCACCTTTTGGCAAATCTCACCTTTGACAAAACCGATGCCAACGATGACAAGCACACTGACAACATCCGCAAGCTTAGGACACGGTACTGTAGGGTCCTTTTACAAGACTACCCATCTGATGACCAACTATTTAAGCTATCTAAAATCCTCTGGGCCCAAGCTGATGAAGATGAGTGGGTTGAGCCAACATCTAGGGACTTCGGTGTACTATCAAAATTGTATCCTCACCTGGCTAAAGAAGTCAAAGCGTACGTCGAAACGCATATTTCGGGAGACTTAATCATGGCAACATTCATGACCATAGGTGATGAGAAGGCTCGTCATCTGGATGCTAAGTGCAAGAAGCAACAGATTGAAGCATTCAAGTTGGAGTTGGGCCAGGCAAGCCTAACCAACAAACTGCTATCTGCATTTTCAAGTCAGATCCGTGTGAAATTTTAGTAAAGATCTTTGATATCTTTTGTTTAGTATAATGAGTAGACATGCTATCATTAGGTTAATGTAGGACCAAGAGCCTTCTTTTGGGGTACCGGAGAGCTCTTATCTGTTAACTAGTTGGTTGATTAGATTGGATGTCTATTTCTGCATATGGAACTAGCTTTAACAACTCGATGGTGCAAAACAACACTTCAACGTTTAAGTATCATGACCTTAGTGATCCAATCAGACTGCCTGTGTGATTTGTTGGTTTCATGATCTATTATCCTGTTAGCTTGTGTTTGAGATGAGAATTTGTTGGGACACAGACATCTTGGCCGCGAAGACAAAAGCTCCCCTTCTTATAATTCCGTTGAAGTGTATGTGAATGAAACTACAAACTATTACCATAGTTTTCATTTTTGGATAGGGGTTCTGCAGAAGCCTTTGGCCACAAAGACATGGCGGAGCGAAGGCTCAGGGCCGGCAGAGACTCGCCTGCGAAGGCCCGGGGCTAATCTCAGAACCGGGCAGGGGAAAGCGGAGTGAAGGCCATCGGAGAGAAGACAGTCGATCAACTTGGAAGACAAAAGGGATCGGCGAAGGCTGGACCTCTGCCCGTCACATGAGAAGGTATGAAGGAGAGCACGTGACGAGGGATAGATAGGTCTCCATCAGGCTCAGCGCTAAGGCCCATGAGTGAAGGTGGAGCCGTTAGAGAGAAGACCCAAGATGCCTCCGGAGACCAGGCCTAGTACGGGCATATCCACACAATATGCCCCTGTAGATTGTTGGGTAAAAGTGTAAAATAACTCCCCTATGTACAGTGATCAATAAAAGGGGAGCAAACCCCATATAAAAAAGAGAGACCTACGAGTAAATGAAACCCTGATAGAGCCCTGACCCCATTTTTGTGTTCATCTTTGAACTCCACCTTCGCCTGAGCAAAGACCCCTCTCGTCTTACCCCGCTGGGAACAATTTCCCAACAGAATTTATACTCCATTGGAGGAAGCAGAATTACTTGTTATTTACTCCTTGACAGGGACTTGGCTTGGGATGGATAGCATGATCTGCAGATATTAGTTTAAGCACTGAAAAAATTCTAAAAGGTCTAATGGTCCTGAGCATTTAAGAATTTATAGCTGCATATTTCTAGGCCTTGTTTAAATGACATCAAAGTTTCAAGTTTTTTCACTCTCTCTCCATCACATCAATTTTTAGACACATGCATGAAGCATTAAATGTAGGTAAAAAAAGTAACTAATTGCACAGTTTGGTTGTAAATCACGAGACGAATCTTTTGAGCATAGTTAGTTCATGGTCGAACAAAGTTTGTCAAATACAAACGAAACGTGCTACAGTATCCAGATTAAAAAAATTTACTATCTAAACGTGGCCCGCCCCCCCCCCCCGACGCGGTGGTCCTTTGCTCGATGAAACACTACCTGCCTATGCTCGCCGACCCCGGCTGCGCGTGGCCTGTTCCTCGCTGGAGGTGGCGGCGGCAGCTCAGCTTGGCGGCGCGGTGAGGCGGTACCTCACCCTCTTCTCCTCCTCCTCTGTCTCATGGCTCCTCCCTAGATTCTCTCTCCCTCCCATCTTCCCCTTTGCGCAGGCGATTGAGCGAGAGATGGTGGAGACCCGCTGAGCACGCACGGCGCTGGGGCGGGGATTCTAGCCTCCGTCCCAGTGGCCGAGCGCTTCCCTTCGCCGCGTCGTGCCCTCCCTCCCGTCTGCTTCTTCATCCCTGCTGCGGTGGTGCCTTTCTCTCCTCTCTGGTTCTCCCTCTCTGGTTGCTGTAGGTCGAGTTTTAGTTTACATTTGTTGCAATTCGTTATTTGCTTCTGTACTCAAAAGATTGCACATGAACTGGTCTTCACTCTTCAGTCTTCACTATCCATAGCGTTGATTTCCATAGCCCTGAACTTAGTACTTAGTTATCCTTATATGAGCTATATTTTTTAATTCACTTGCCCAACTGTCTAAAGGTCTGATGTTCTACACAGGTATCCGATTTCTTGTGGGAATCAGCAACCAGTTGGACCAGGGGAATGTCCACGGATGCGGTTTGCATCTATTTTGATTGGTGGTTCAATTGTAAGAGCAACTCCAACAGAACAGCTATCCATGTTGTGTAATCAATATTTGACTATTTTGGGAAAAAAGAGAGAGTCCAACAGCTATTGTATCTTACTTTCTAAAATAGTAAGTCATGTATCCCGGAATTCTTGCATGCTAGATATAGCTTGCATGTGCCGCTAGCCATTCGCCTCACCCTATTGGAAAGGTTGTTGGAGTTTTCTGTTTTTTTGGCTCGGGTTTCTATTTTAGAGGTTGGCTAAATCATGAGTTTAGCCAACTATTTTTATCAACTCTGTTGGAGTTGCTCTAAGGTATGGTTGAATTACAGTGATTTTCTATAGCTTCCAGTTTGATCCAACGAAATTGGCCAAATCTACTGTCATGTTGGTGTGCGAAGAATGGTTCTGTTGTCCTGTTGGTGTGTGGAACCTAATATTTTTGGGTTACCCAAAAGTTCTTTGCAAGATGTGTAAATTACTATTGCATATGTACGAATTCTTGAGAATGTATTGTCGTATTTTGACAGCTTTATATTCTACCATGGGCTATAAGAAATTTATCCATGCTTAGATTCTTCTGGAGAGTAATCTGATCTAAGCTTCAGTTTTTTCAGTTTTTTTCTAGCAGCAGTCAACAATAATGCACCTACACATTGTGTGATGCTGTTATATGAATGCTTTGTCAAAAAAATGCAACTGTGCATCCTCCTATTTAGTTCATTATTTCTTTGTCCTACGGATACATTGTGCATGCTCCAATTCACAAAGATTTAATTTACAGCTATAATTTGGGAGTACATATTTTAACTTTTACATAGTGCTTGGTGTATTAGGTTTCTTGCTTGGTCCTTCCAAGATTTACAGAACCATTGAAAGTTCCTTTCCCCTGGTAATCACCGGCCTCGGCACCGTCCTCAGGTACTCCGTTTCCATGTTTGGTCTTATATAAGTTATTGTTTCCCGTCCTTACTTACCAAGGAGTTGCTGCAGCAATCTGAATCAATATGGTGAAGGGACACAACAGAGCTCAGCACAAATGCACGGCCACGCAATCACTCGGACCAGGTGCGTGCCAAGTGTGTTCTTTGATTCAATGCATATGAAGATCAATTTGGTTGATTTATGGCTTGGAGCAGGTGCCAATGTGGTTGATTTATGGCTTGGAACAGGTGCCAGCTAGGTGTGTTATTCGATTTTATCTACTGTATGTACAGCATGCAAACTGTAGAGTAGTAGTAAATTTCAAAACGTTCTCTTTCCAGGTTCCTATATTCATGCTCAGGTCTGGATCACGGTGTTGGGCTTGCTTAGCTTACCTTGGTTTTGGTCAGTCGGAGGTTTGTGGTCAGGTCTCACCCCTATCTTAGTTGTCTAGAGTTTTAGCTCCTCCGATGTAATGAAAACAACCCCTCCCGGCCCAGAGTGAGGTGATGGTGTTTGTAAGGAGCCGATCCTTTTTTTTCTATCTTTAATACAATGATACGTAGCTCTCCTACGTATTCGAGAATAAAATATTCATGCTCAGGTAACCGAATGATTTAGGCTTTTGGAATTAATGATCTGGTCCCTTCTTCATGTCCTTCACTTCTAACAAAAAAAAACCTCCATGATTTCTTACTGTCACGAAACTATTTACCGGTCAATGGTATTTTATTTAATTCTATGCAGCACCCATGCCTACTGACTACTGTGATATTGAGAGGACAAATTTTCAAGCTATATTGCAATATTTTCTTCCTGTTGGTTTCCCTTCTTGGCAAAGAAGTTGGTACTAGATGGTTTATAGTATGGTTTGTGCTTCACTAAAACTATTGCAGAAATATTTTGGCTCTGCTTCTACTTAAATTTCTCACACATGTTTATTTTAAGCTTTATAGTGTGGAGGTATTGTAATTTCTGATGGCTATGCAACACAAAAGAGTTACTGTTTATAGAAGACTATTTTGTAAAAAAAACGTGCAGAATGGACCACTTTTTACCTACATGTCCAAAGAGTATATTTTACGATACGACAAAATAGCCTTGTATCTCTCAATATGCTTCTGTTTTCGAGGCTGGGTCCCTCGTGGACTCATCAGGAAGTATGGGCTTACGTGCTGCAGGCGGTGCTTTCACACCAACGCCAAGGCTCCATCAAGGTATCCATGTTTGTGCAGTAGACTCAAAATAATGAGGTCGCATCAGTTCAGGTTTCATAGTACCTGACTGAGGTCGCATCATGTTTCTACACTTATCACTGAATGGCTACTTTTTCAAAACAAAACAGGGGGATTCTATTTTTCAGTCTCATGAGAAAAAGAAACTCTCAGATTTTGTTGTAACCTTACCACTTTATCCCCCTGCGGTGTACCAACTTCAATGAATGTCCAAGATACTTTACCCTTGTGCATTATGGTCTACATAGACAAAGAGTAGAAGTTCTCGAATACCCACTTGCTGTTTCTTTCTCGAATACGCACGAGCATTGTATTTAAGGAGGAAGCAGAGTTTAACAAACAAGGATGCCGGTCTCTGGCCGTTTTAGTAGCAGATCTCTAATAATTTAGAAAGGTTACAAAACAGTAAAGGCTATTACAATTTTCAGCTTTGCAGCTTTTGCAGCTTTCTCCCCCGTAATACAAATATGCTAGTGCTATACATTACAATTTACAAAGAACAAAATGTAAAAAAAAAACTAAACAAAGTAGCAAGCAGCCAGTGGACAGCAGCAGCAAGAACAAATGAATTAGAGGAGAAAATGGAATCTTTACTGGGTGCTGTGGTGGTGGTGCCAACTGCCTATGGAGCTCGATGGCTCTAGTGCTTGACTGCAGTCCCCTACTTGACTGCCTTCAATGCCAGCTGCCACCTCCGAACGGCCGAAGCCATCGAGCTAGAACCGACCGCTGGGGCAGGGGCCGAGTCTTGTCGAGTCAAGTGAGCCCGGGGGCCGAAGGCCAGAGCCAGCTGCTCTGCCGCAGCCAACAAATGGAGACGCGCCACCGCCGCTGCCCGCTGGATTAGGACAGGAGTCGCCACTCGGGAGGTGCAGTCGCTTGTGGTCTGTACGCACGTAGCTCGCCGCTTGAACCTTGACCACGTTGGCTTGCTCCGCTGCTACCAGTTGGTTTGTAGGCTTTTGGTCCAATTAGAAAATAGGCTATACATGTATACTATGTATATTTATTTTTAGCACCTAAATCTTGGGTATTCCAATGAATACCCATGCATACCCTTGCCGCCGCCCATAAGTCCCTAAATAGACAGCTCAACCTTACCACAAGTTAAAAATATATAATTGACAAGTTTCTGACCAATTAGTTTACAGAAAGTATAACCATAGCCCGCCTAAATTTTGCAGATGGTAGACCATCTAATTTTCAGTTATCTTCTGTGTGGGGAAACCGTCACCACAGTTGATAGCTACCATCTAATGGTGCAGTATTGTTTTAGATAACTTTTTAAATAAAAGTTTTAGATTTCACTGAGAGCTACAACTTTGATATAAAATGTACCTTCATTTGACACTATACAAAAATCATAATATTTTTCTAATGTGATAAGCACTATTACGCGATTATTATACTGCTAAAATTTTATATTATTTTTTCGAGCATCTTAACGACCTCAAATGTAAAAACAAACTCAAAACTATAAAGTTGTAACTCATTGGCCCCGTTCGCTGGTCTAAAACTTGGCTGAAACTGGCTGAAAAACATTGTTCCGGCTGAATTGTTGTGAGAGAGAAAACACTATTTCGGCTATAAAAAGAAGTCGAACAAGCCGAATATGGGGTAAGCCGAACAGAGCCATTGAGTGCTACAACTTTGATGGAAATAGTATCTTCATTTGACATCATACAGAAACCATATTACTCTCTCCGTCTCAAAAGAATGTAATTCTGAAACAGTGTCATGTTTTAGTATATCAAGTTTGACTAATTATACATAAAAATATAAATATTTATAATACCTAATAAGTATCATTAGATTAATTATGAAATGTATTTTTATAATAAATTAATTTAAAGATATAAATGTGAATATTATTTATGAAAAACTTAATCAAACGTGAAGCACTTTAATTGCCACGCCACCTATAGTTGCATTTTTTTAGGGACAGAGACACAGTATTTTGCTAATGCGAAATAACTACCGACTCAAGCCTGCAGGGTCGTCGTCGTCTTGCATGTCTAATTAATAGTGGCGACGATTCATTTGTCTGCAGGCTGGTCCATCATCTTGAGCTCTTAACATGCCAATCAGCATTATGGTTTTCAGAGTTCCTGATCTAGCTAGCTACAGGTTGGTGTTTATGTGCTGTGTTCATTCTGATCGAGGCCCAATTATTTGACTAATTGTTAAGTACTAATAGCCGCAACTGTACTTACTCATCGTTACAGTAATCAAGGAGGCAAATTATCTATGTAACTCAAAGTTTCATGGTAGTATAAGACAAGTCATACGATGCCGTCTAGCTCTAGCAGTGGGTCATCAACAGTGTTGGTTGATGATTCGCAGAAATTGTCCCCTGAACACCGGATGCTCGTGCCACTGTCGCCAGGGCCATTCATTCAGATTCAGGCAAGGCCAAGGCATTAAACGTTTGAGAATGCAGAACGTATTTGCAGAGAGGTCTTGCGGCCCTTGTGTGTTTTGCAGCCCCCTGTTTTATTTGAACTTATCAACTATGGTATAGTATTTTTCCCTCACAACAAATAAGTGAACAGTACTTTTCTAGCTTGACAGCTTGTGTCCGCGGAAAGCTTGTCCGCAAGGTCTATAGCTTACAGCCTGTTCATTTGGCTGTGGCTTGTCATAAACGATCGTAAATTTCCAGCCGAAATAATATTTTTCTCTCACACAAACCAGCCAGCAGTACTTCTTTACGAACCAGCAACAAAATGAACCAGCCAACTGAACAGGCTATTAGTGGCTGGCCGCAAACCCGCTAATAAACTTTGCGAGAGGTGGAGGTCTAAAAACTACATGAATAACTCGCCAAACAGCCTGCAATTAGAAATACGGGGGTGGAGGACTATCGTTCAGTTTTACGAACTGCATGCAATGAACGTATCTCGAGCTTATACAACGTTAAATTTCACCTTGCAATACCGACTATACACAAAGGCCAACAAACTCATGTACCACATGCATGATATGGACGTTACTGTATTCTTGCTTGTTTTCTTGTATTGGGTGCTTGGAGGTCTTGGTAATCCTTAGTTTTTTTGCTTCCGTTTTTCTTCTTTCTCCTCGCGCTGGGAAACCTTTGGTTACCTAGTGTTGAACCGTTTGTTGTTTGGTTCGGTGTTGTCTACTTCCTCTTTATGAAATACGTGCTACATGGCACGTTCGAGAAAAAAAAAGAATATGGACGTTACTGTGATGTGGTAGTTTCAAGAAGTGGCAAAAAATAAAAATTCATGTGGCCATGCCCAAGGAACTCCGGTACTGCACACATGAATGGTTGGTAGCATCATGCACGGCCACCGGTGGCCGGTCAGTCGGTCACTGCAGAGTTATTGTTAATCAGACATGGAGTACCTAGCAAAACCTCATCTCTGTGGCAAGCTCGAATGTTCCACTTGTGATATGCATCTCAGAATATGTAGTGTGATTAGTGACCGTGAATGATGGTCGCAGAGATAGACATGACATGGGTGCTACTGCATCTTGATTTCCTAAAAAAAAGAGGGAGCACATAGTAGACATAACATAAAAGGAACATCAGGCAAAGAACAGATGGTGAAAGGCATAAATGCATTGTGATACTTTTGTAGTTGCTGTTGTGAATTTATTTAATGTCATATGATAAGACGAAGAAGTAGATCTGAAAGTGGAGCCAGGTTCATCTGCATTAGTGCCAGATCCAGTGAATGTTTTTGGATGCTGCAGACGTGCAGTTACAGACGTGTTTGGTGGTTATGCCAAAAGTGTATAGCTGACAATTACCAAATACAATCAAGATTCTTGGTTCCAACACTAACGTTTTGCCGATCAGCTCTTTTTGGTTGCAGACCTTTTGATTAGGTCGAAAGTAACAAGCTGCATCGCTTACTTTTTGGTCAGCCATGTGCTGCCAGGCTCTCATTTTGGTCTCTTCTTACTGCCTTTCTACTTCTGGCCTCTTGGGTTCTCTTTGCTTACTTTTGTCTCAGTTTCTGACTCAGTATTGCTTCAATGTAACAGGGCAACTCTTTCCATCTACGTGTTGTACTGCTCTCTGCCACATTCTGTTGATTTTAGCATCTGATGGAGATATTACTAGCATTGGATTATGTGCGCCTATCAGCATTTGCTGTGTTGCTGCTTTGGGTCATTGGAGAGCTTCTCAAACTGAAGAAGGGACAACATGAGGCAGGAAGTGGTGTCGTGATTTCAGCAGAAAGGAAGGGGGTGACCCTACTCCCATCACACATAATTTCAGTCTGCAATGCCTCAATCAAGTCAATACATGTTGGCTTTGCTGTTCTTGGAGTTTGGAAGCACCAAACCATCTCCATGGGCTTCATCTTCGCCTCACTGTCATGGATTTTGGTGACTCTCTTCTCAGTCTACTGCAAACACAAAGGAGCAAGACTTGGATCAAACTGGCCTGCAGTTCTTGTTTATTGGTGGGTCTTCAGCTCCCTGTTAGAATCACTACTCACTTCATTGCATTTGCTCCACCTAATCAGCTCTGCAACTGTAGTCAATTTTACTTCGCTGCCCTTCGGCGCCATCATATGTCTGTGTCTAGTTGCAATAGCCATGAGAACCTCTGAAGCAAACCAAGATGAACGGAACCAACCATTGCTCATGAGGGAAGACAGTGGCGATAGCAGCGGGGATAGGTTTTCCAGTTCCAGGTGGTGTAGTCAGCTTACATTCCAGTGGTTGAACCCGGTCTTTGAGAAGGGACACCAGGTACGGCTCGAGATTGAACACATCCCAGCTGTTCCTCAGTCAGAGACGGCAGACCAGTCGTATGCATTGCTTCAAGAAACAATGCATAAGCAAAAACCGGAGCCGATGTCTGTACAAAAAGGCATCATTTGTGCTGTTTGGACACCTTTGGTCATCAATGCAGTCTTTGCAGGTAACCGTTACCATGAAATTTATCAGAAATAGAGCTGTTCTTTTCTCCCCACAGTATACTAATACAATACATGGTTTTAATTACCAGGGCTTAACACTTTAGCTTCTTATATGGGACCATTCTTGATCACTTACTTAGTGAAGCTGCTCTCCGACAAGAACCCTGACAGAGGCCATGGACATGGATACATGCTTGCAAGCCTCTTCTTTGTATCAAAGACAGTAGAGTCACTGTCACAGCGGCAGTGGTACTTTGGCGCTCGTAGAATTGGATTTCGGGTACGAGCAGCACTGATGGTGTCCATCTACAAGAAATCCCTGTTGATAAAGGACTCAACTGCAGGGACAGGAAGAATTGTGAACTTCCTTGATGTCGATGTAGAGAAGATTGGTGAGTTTTTCTGGTACATCCATGGAATTTGGTTGCTGCCCTTGCAAGTCTCACTGGCACTTGTCATCCTGTACCATAGTCTTGGGATGGCGGCATCGCTATCTGCTGCTTTTGCAACAGTGTTGATCATGGTGAGGAACACACCCCTGGCAATGTCACAGAAGAATCTCAACATGAAGATCATGGAGGCGAAGGACCCACGCATCAAGGCCACAGCAGAGGCTCTTAAAAGCATGAGGATTTTGAAACTGCATGCATGGGAGACAGCCTACTTGGACGAGCTTTTGAAGCTCAGGGATGTGGAGAGAGGGTTGCTCAGAAGGTATCTGTACACATGCTCGGCAATAGCCTTCCTCTTCTGGGCATCACCAACGTTGGTCTCAGTTGTCACCTTTGGAATTTGCATTCTTGTAGACGTTCCATTGTCGGCAGGAACTGTACTATCAGCCCTTGCTACTTTCAGAATCCTCCAAGATCCAATCTACAACCTCCCAGAGTTAGTGTCCACGGTCACACAAACCAAGGTGTCCCTAGATAGAATTGAAGAGTTCATCAAAGAAGACCACCACACAAAGCCAAGTAGCAATGGCAGTAGAAGTGGCACAGCGAAGCAGTCTGTGGCTGGCATTGTGGAGATTGGAGCAGGAGAATACAGTTGGGAAGCCACTGACAACAACTTGAAGAATACAAAGTTCACATTAAAGATTGATAGAAAGGTGGACATCATGAAGGGTCATAACGTTGCAGTGTGTGGGCCAGTTGGCTCAGGAAAATCAAGTCTCCTTTGTGCCATCATGGGTGAGATTCCAAGGGTCAGCGGTGCAAAAACAATGGTTGTTGGGTCAAGGGCATATGTGCCACAGAGTGCATGGACTCAAACTGGGACAATTCAGGACAATGTGCTCTTTGGGAAGGCCATGGACAAGGCCCGATATGATGAGGTGCTACAAGGGTGTGCTTTGAATAAAGATGTGGAACTATGGGCTAATGGAGATATGACTGTGGTAGGGGAAAGAGGCATGAACCTAAGTGGTGGCCAGAAGCAGAGGATTCAGCTTTCCAGAGCATTGTACAGTGATGCTGATGTTTACCTCTTGGATGATCCCTTCAGTGCGGTTGACGCACACACTGGAGCACACCTCTTCAAGGTACAAATGAGTAATCTGCAACAATGTATCTTTTTTCATGAGATTCACATGTACTTTATGGAAAAATTGCATGCCCCAAGGGCCAAGGCAGGAAATTTTGTAGCACTAACATGCAAAGCAAGAATCATAACCAAACATAAATTATGCTTACAGACAGCGGCGGAGCGTGGCATCAAACAAAGGAGGGGCTAATTCATCTTGCCTCTAACTTCTAGCTACTACAGACTGCCTGTGTTCTTAGTTAAATATTTTTCTTCTCTCTGTCGCATGAAACGATGAATGCATTCACAGGAATAACAGTGGAGCATAGTCAAGCAAGGGGGGGCCGATGCCCAGCTTGGCCTCCACGAGGCTCCACCACTGCTTACAGACATTCTCTGTCAGGGACTCCCTAACTTATATATAATATAAATCAGGTATTTGGATCAATAAGCAATTAAGAACTTGCATCAATTATGGGAATCTCATCATTAACTGCAATTCAGATTCTTTAGATGATTAGAATCAAACATATCTGGTTTGAAGAACGAAAAATAACCTTCCAAATATATTTTATTTGCCAATAAACTTGAACAATAATATCAGTTCTATATATATGCAGGAATGTTTAATGAGTCAAATGTCCTCAAAGACAGTCATCTATGTAACTCACCAGCTAGAGTTTCTGCGAGATGCGGATCTTGTTTTGGTAAGACAGCTGTCTTAGTCCTGAGAAAATTTATAGCAAACTATATTTCATAGGAACTCCTAGTTATGAAAAGTATGTTGCAAGTCTTTTTTGGTCCTAAAAAGAAGAAAGGAATTGTCACTGTAGAATGAATAGAATCGGGTGGAATTGTTGGTTGTATTGCACAGCCTCATGGATGGATTATATAGGAGTATATTGCTTAGGGGGCAAGAAGCCTCCCTTAGAGATACTGGAGTCCCAATACATTTTATTTCTTAATTAAAAAATCTTCTAGTCATGTTCGTGTGTCTACAATTAGTAAGAACATGTATTTACAGAAAAGGGCAATTCTAATTTATGCTAATGACTCGTTACTTATAGGTCATGAAAGATGGAAGAATTGTTCAATCCGGAAAGTATGATAATTTAATAGCAGACAAAGATGGTGAGTTCTCAAAGCAAATGGGCGTACCCAGTGCAGAGAGCTCCCGCTCTGTGCGGGGTCTGGGGAAGGGTGTCAGTGGCAAGCCTTACCCTCGCCTGTGCAATGCGAGGAGACCGCGACTCGAACCCGGGACCTTCCGGTCACAGGCGGTAAGACTCTACCGCTTGCACCAGGCCCGGATGCGCATAATAAGTCCCTTAGTCAGGTAAACCCTGCAAAAGTTCAGGGCTTGGGCACCAACAAAAAATACAAGAAGCAAATGGAGCACAGAGAGATAGAGCCAGATCACACTGTGCTAGGAAGGGAAAGTGAGGAAGAGCGTGAATCTGGAAGGGTCAAATGGGGTATCTACCGAAAGTTTGTTACCTCAGCCTACAGGGGAGCCCTCATTCCCATAATTCTTGTATGCCAAGTCCTTTTCCAGGCATTGCAGATATGTAGCAACTATTGGATTGCATGGGCATCAGATAGGAAAGAACTAGTAAGCAGAGAGAAGATGATTGGTATTTTTGTGCTGTTGTCATCAGGAAGCTCAGTATTTATATTGGGGAGAGCTTTCGTCCTATCAGCAATTGCAATCAAAACTGCACAGCAACTCTTCTTAGGCATGATAAAAAATATATTCCGAGCACCAATTAATTTCTTTGATTCCACTCCAAGTCGAATCCTAAATAGGGTGAGCACCAGCATACTACCACCTGGATGTAACATCATAACAAATACTCTCCTTCCAGTTAGTCCTTACAGTTCAGCTTTTCTGTTTTTCAGGCATCAACAGATCAAAGCACAGTTGACATAGACATTCCTTACAGGCTAGCAGGGCTGATATTTGCACTAATTCAGCTCCTCAGTATCGTTTTCATTATGTCCCAAATTGCTTGGCCCATACTATTTTTATTCATAGTAATAATTTCCATATCTACTTGTTATCAGGTAAATCTTCATGCATTATTGATGACGTTTGCGGATTTGAGGCATATAAAATGAGTAATACACTAATCTGTAAATTTATGTAGAGCTATTACATCAGTTCAGCGAGAGAGCTAGCGAGGTTGGTTGGCATTAAAAAGGCTCCAATTCTCCACCATTTTTCTGAGACCATATCAGGGGCTGCAACAATTAGATGCTTTAATCAGGGAGAACTTTTTTTAAGAAAGAGCCTTACACTAATAGACGACTACTCCCGCATCACTTTCCACAATGCAGCAACGATTGAATGGTTGTGTGTCCGTATCAACTTCCTCTTCAACCTGGTATCCTTTGTGATGCTGGTCATCCTTGCCTCCTTGCCTCATGATACTATTGACCCAAGTAAGTTCTCCCATAACAAAACTACTAGTACCATTCAATGCTTCAACCTAGTTCTGTAGTTCTAATAGAAATGACAATGTTTTGGTTTTCTCCTTCTTTAGGCCTTGCAGGGCTTGCAGCAACATATGGTCTCAACCTTAATGTGTTACAAGCATGGGTAATATGGAACTTATGCGATGTTGAGAACAAGATGATCTCAGTAGAGAGAATTATGCAATTCTCAAACATGCCAAGTGAGTCTCCTTTAGTGGTTGAAGACAACAGACCAATGGAAAGATGGCCATGGTATGGAACCATTCAAATTGATGGTCTCCAAATTAAGTACAATCTTGACATGCCTATGGTGCTCAAAGGTATAAGCTGCACATTTCCTGGAGAAAGAAAAATTGGGGTGGTAGGGCGAACGGGGAGTGGGAAGTCTACTCTCATCCAGGCTTTGTTTCGGATTGTCGAACCATCTGCAGGACGGATACTCATAGACGGAGTCAATATGTCACTTTTGGGATTACATGATTTGCGATCTAGACTAAGCATTATACCTCAAGAACCAACTCTATTCCAAGGCACTGTCAGATCAAACCTAGACCCTCTACAACAAAATACAGATGCTGAAATATGGGAGGTACGCCAATATGCCTTTAGCATCCTTATGATGTTTTATGCTATTTGGCACTTTATCAACACTTTAACTGTGGCTGAAAATGCTGGTTTAGTTTAATTTTCGTTTATCAGTTCTAATTTTTTAGTATTTACAGGTTGCTAGTAAATGTCGCCTTGAGGAGATTATTACAGAAGACAATAGACTGTTAGATGCACCAGGTATCAAGGTCTTCCTTGACATTTATGTGTCCCCTTCATCCCAGTTTTATAACTACAATTCATTTTTGTAGTTGTTGAAGATGGAGGAAATTGGAGTGGAGGGCAAAGGCAACTTGTCTGCTTGGCCAGAGTGCTACTAATGAAAAGAAAAATACTTGTTTTAGATGAAGCTACAGCGTCAGTTGATACTGCAACTGATAATATTATCCAAAGTACTATAAGGCAAGAAACAAAAACTTGCACGGTCATAACAATTGCACATAGAATTCCCACTGTGATTGACAGTGACCTAGTTCTTGTACTTGGTGAAGGTAAAATGCTCCGAAAGAACTCATAAGATTCTTTTTCTAGTTTTATTCTAGGTTCTGAGATGGTATTTTTAACAAACCTAAGTCATCTAATAAATACTTTGTTTTCATTTTGTACAACAGGCAGGATACTTGAGTACGATTCTCCAAACAATCTCCTGAGAGATGAATCATCAGCGTTTTCAAAGTTGGTGATGGAATGTGTGGGAAGGACAGATAACGTTAACTAGAGATGACATGGAGCAATAAACCAATCATTAACCATTTGACCTTGCTTAGTCCTGTGTATAGTAGCGCTGTAGCAGTATGGAAGTCAGACCAGGTAACCAGGAAAATTTGATTCGTGTGTGATGATGGGACCAGTGACATAAAGATAGTTAGTCGATAGCAGAAAGTAACCTTCTTATTAATGCTTTCTTTTCCTAGTGCTAGTGGACAGCTTATGATGGTAAGGTGTTTGTTCATATTGACCACTTGGTGATCTTACTCTTACATTGGCTCATCTTTTTTTGCTACCAACACAGCAGGCTGTAATGGTACAATTCGTGAATTTGTTAGCCATGATTCTTTCTACTGTGAGTCCTTACAGATGGTTGTACATAAATGTGCGACTACTTCCCAAAGGACAATAACATCTTAGCGTTCTACATATTCTTTTTTTTCCCTCAAGAAAGAGCACCAGCTTTGGAATTGGAGTGCTGAAGCCAATGCATGTTCTGCGCCTGAATTCGTGAGTTTGAGCCACAATAGGCTCAAACTAGCATGCAGTTGCAAAACATAAAATCTACTATTTGCACCATTGCAGAAAGAACACAGAACCCGACAATTATATTCAGAGAAAATTAGCAATTAGAATTGATGGCAGAGGGTCCTTACTCCCATGAGGCAAAAGAACGAACAGTTGGTGGGCGCTACAGAGGCCCGGCGAGGCCGATGCCTGTCCTGCGTCTGAAGCCGCTGTTTGGTAACAACACGAGTAGGTCGCCGTCTTGATGGCCACCACCTGAGGCCACCGCCTCGCCGTGTTTGCGCGTGGCTGATGGTGCGAGTGTGCGACCACCAGCTTTGGAACTGGAGCGCTAGCAGTGCCACCGCCCACCGGTAGAGGAGGTGGCTATTGGCTATTGGCAATTGGCCTATTGTGGGGGGTGTGGCTCAACAAGGCCTGTGGCCGCGTGGGCCTAGTCTGGGCGTCTGGGGAGAAGCCAGCTACGACCTGGAGGATGGAACTGTACTTGCCGAGGAGGAAGAAATGGTGAGAAGACCAAAAAAAAAAAAGGTTCACTTTGATTTTGATTTTCCCTAGCAAATAATTTGTGTTGCAACTGTCATTTGTTTCATTCATCCTCTCTGTCCATTCCATAAGACCCTTTCTAGTAGGGTAGTGGCTGTGTCTTTGTTAGAACACAGACCAATCGTGCCGTTCCAAGATCCTCCTAACTCGAAGTAGTGATTGTGTCACCGGGAAACACAAAACCACTCGTTCCCGTTCAATCCTAAGTCCAACTTCTTTTGACTTTTAGAAAATTATAAAATATATATATATATATCAATATTTACCACATCAAATTTATTTAATTAAAATTCGTATTTTGAAAGTGCATTAACGTTGCTGTGGCAACGAGAGGGCCCATCTCTCATTTTAAATTATAAGCAAATCTTCAGGTTTAGGTTTAGGTTTGGATTGATTAGATTGAACCCAAATAATTCTACCAGCGAAATCATTAGCCATTGCAGGAGCCATTTTCATAGGCGAGAGGTCAGTTTGTGATTACTATCTATTATAAGGGTAAAGATGTTCATGGACATTTTTCATAGGGATATTAACTCAAGGTCATCAACTTTATTATCAATATATTGAGAAATTAGGCATCCAACTTGATGGATCAAGGTTTGGTGTCCAATTTGATCGTTAGCTTTATCGTCCTCCCTAGCTTGGCCTTACCGCTTGCGTCTTGCTAGCGGATCGGGCCTCACCAGCTTGCGTCTTGCTAGTGGAACCAAATTATTTGAATACAATTCAACCATGTTATGCTCATTCCCTTCTAGGGGCGACACTTTAGTGACGGTTTTGACTATGTAAAACCATAACGAAATTACCATCAACAAGCGTCCGACCCTATTGACAGAGCATCCGTCGATGCTAGTCGATAGAGCATTAACCCTATGTTACACATGCGTGTTATATATGCTTAAACCCTAATCAAACAACATCAATGCATATCATATCATGTCATTTACTCTTATGCATTGTACTCATCAAGCATCATTCATTCATTAGGTGACGAGGGCTACGAGGAGGTTGTTTTGGAGGAGGCCCAGGAGGTAGAGATCGTCGACGAGCCGCCACCCAAACCCATTCAAGGCAGGCCCCTTACTATGTATCCCTAACTCTTTGCGAATGCATTAATGAACTATAGTTATCTATTACATTGATATATTACTATATGATTAGGCTACCTATGATATCCTTTGAGCTTTCCATACCTTGAATAATACGATGGTCGGATTTGGCATTTAGTTACCATCAACAGTATTTAAGCTAGGCCCTTGTAGCTTCGTGCATGTTAGCTGGGAGGCGTGCTTGTCTTCATCGTGCTATGGGTGTTATCCATATATTCCTTTCTACCTAATGCAACCTTAACTTGTTTAAGCTTTTCTATAAGGGCTCGTTTGGATTCTTTTATTTTGGTAGAATTAGAATGTACTTAACAGATAAGACTATTTGATTTAGAATTTGATATTCTATAACTTTTCAAAGTTCAGATATGAGTCTGTCTTAAATTTATAGGGTGGAAGATGTAAATTAATTTTATAGATCACCATGCTATGTTTCTACACTGCAACTTATAGCACGCTTTTCGGCTCGCTCTCCTACAACAGAAATGCAGCACATAAGTATCTTACGGCTAATAGTAGTACAAAAATATATTCCACGTAAAACCATATTAGCTTTAATTGATCTGTGCTTAAATTATGATTATTAGAATTGATTTCAATTCCAAAAGGTTCCAAACAGGCCTTTCGAGTATAGTAGATTATATTGGTGCATTTGTCTGCTAACATGCGCGATTCGTTAGAGCAGCTACAAACATATATAGTTGATTAAAGGCCATAAGACCATATACTTTGTTAAAATTTAACTAATACACAATCTATCCCAAATTATAAGACGTTTGACTTTTTTGACACCAAGTTTGACCACTCGTCTTATTCAAAAATTTGTGTAAAATATCATTTCTTTCATCGTGGTTTGGTTTATTAATAAAAATTCTTCAAGAATGACTTAAATTTGACTATATTTGCACAAATTTTTTGAATAAGACGAGTGGTCAAACTTGGGGTCAAAAAAGTCAAACGTCTTACAATTTGGAATGGAGGGAGTAGTTATTTGTTGCTGTTTTTTCTTGGATAGGTAGAGCCAAAGAATGTGAACTATACAAGTTCTTAATACCTATTGAATAAATCAAAGAAAGGCCTCTGGTGTATAGATAAGGCCTTGCCGTTTAAAAGGGAACAATAAAAACAATGGAACCCACTATTTTTTAGTATCCTTAGAATTTGTTATTTCAATGCAAAATTACTTAATAGAGTAAAAAATTATGGTTGGGAAGGTTATAGTAGCAAAAGTCATTGGAATTAATATTTTATATATCAGAATAATCCATTTTGTTATTTATGGGAAAAAGAGGGTTAAAAGAAGAGAAATAAAAAAAAAAGAAATCATTGTCTTCTTTCCTATATCTTGTATTTATCATACTTTTTCCCTGGGGAGTCTCTTTCTCTTTTAACAAACGTCTAGAACTTTGTATTAAGAATTGGTGGAATACCAGGCAATCTGATTCAAGAGAAAAGCATTCTAGAAGGATTCATAGAATTACCAGAACTTTTTCTCTTGGACAAAATGATAAAAGAGAAACCAAAGACACATGTACAAGAACTTCCTACAGGAATACACAAGGAAATAATACAATTGACCAATTAACCAATTAAGAAGTTAAGTTGTTGCTTATTATTTTACCAAAATTAGGGTCAGTCTCTATCCATTTATTCACTAGACCTAGAAAATCAGAATTTTTTATTAAAAAAAACAAATTGATTTGATTACGACATGATATTTTTACATTGATTACATTTAAGGATCAGTCATGGTCTTTTAGACTCCACCAAGAGTTCGGACCAATTTGTTGCTTCATCCAAATGTGTAAAAATTATAGCTGCACTTAAAAGTACTCTACCATTGAGTTAGCTACCCGGATAAAATATGATGTCTTAGATATGATCAAAATCTAATAATTGGTGAAATTACACTGGACGCTCCTGATAAAACATTAAATTAGCAAAACATCAAAAGAAGATTTCCTCATCCATTGAAAACACTCAAATGCCACCATGAACAGATCTGGTTAAATTTCACTAATGGTAAAAAGAGCATGCCTAATCACACAATGGCAATTTTTTTTGGTAATTTGAACAAAGTATAGACAAAGTTGCCTAATATGGAGTGACAGTAAAGAGACCCATCTCATGGTGCCCCGTGACCAAAGACCGATGGCCTTTTACAAAAGGTTGGCTTTGTAGCCCCCTAGAGCCATCTAAGTTTTTTTTGCTATGGCGCTGCTTGCAATATTTGGGTCGGGACTAAAGCTGGCTTGCAATATTTGAGGTGCTGCTTTAAATTCTGGTATGCAATGATACAAACGGGCACGCTAGTGTGGGAACACATGGCCTGGACTCCTGGTTAGTGTTCTCCTAGAACTGGAAACTGCGGCAATCGGAATACTGGGTCATGGCTGGCCTCTAGCATGCACCATGTTCCTTCCCGCATGGCCACATAGACCATGCATGGTGTGCTAATTGTATACATTTCTATCTACATGAGTTGTTCAATTAATTATATAAGAACAAATTATTATGTTGACCATCAATTGAAGATGTTTGTGTTCATTCTCCTACGTTTTGCAAGAAACTCCATTCTTCATGTAATGTTGATGTCAGCGCACATGTAGACAGATTTTTGAGTCTGAACTCTGAAGCGATTTGTAGATAGATTTTTGGGGCTTCCTGTAATGTTGATGTCAGCACACATGTAGAGAGAGGTCTGAATGAGGGCTAAGGGAAGACATTTTCAAGCTACGTACGTGGTGTAGCAACACGTCCAGGCATAAAGTTTCAGACTAAAAACAAATGCATTACCGAAAACACCATAATTACATATCTTATGATGTCA